ATTTTCTTGTGCGCCAAGTTTGTAGTCATTTATTCAAAAAATATTTCCTTAACAGATCGTGAAAATCCCGTCAAATTGTTTTTTTTTTTTAGAGAGAAACAACGGATCATAGCCGAACTTTCAAAATATAGAATAGAAATATCCACGCAGTATACTAACCTCAATGGTTATCAAACATTTAGTAAACAATTCCAAGTCATACAATGTCATAATAATTAAAAAAAAAAAAACTATATAAACGATCGATTAAAAACTATATAAAGTGTGAATTTCTCCCTAAGATCTGTGAGTACATCGCAACTCATTCATCTTTATAATTTTTGTAAAGCACCTTAAAGTTCGTAAAGTAATAAAATTTAAACTTCAAATTCGTGAAGTAATAGTAACACGACTTCAAACTCGTGAACAGCAATTCGACTTCAAACTCGTGAAGTAATAATAACGACTTCAAAATCGCAATGCACAGTAAACCTGTGAACACCACAAAATCAAAGAGAGGTCGTAAGGCGTATATAACTCCTGAAAAAACAGACACAACGGGCAAGATGCATTTTATGATAGTGAAGCGGGTTCCAACCGTCGTTAAGAATAAGAAAAAGAGTCTTTGTAAAAACTGCGACATTAACGATGAATATATTAATACACTATCAGAGCGCATAAATAAAATAGAACACTTAATCAAAGATTTCGAAAAAGGGTTAAAAAATTTTGGACAAAGATTATCTAATGTAGATAATACTCATAATAATGTAGACTTTCTACAAATGGATACAAACTCTCTAATTGAACTGTCTAAAAGACCAGAATTCGTGCCATTTAACAATATAAATTCCCAACCGCAATTTACTCCCTATTATCCTGGCAATGTATACGTCAATCAAACCATTTCGCCTCAGTATTTTGGAACTATGCCTTTTGACAATCGTCCTTTTTCATTTTATCAAAATTGAATCTTTCAACAAAAAAAAATTTATTGTAAATAAGCTGTGTAAGGGTTATATGTGTATGATTTATGAATATGTGAATATGAACTGTCCATTACGAAGACTACCCAAGCTATCTAGGCTATCTAGGCTATCTAGTTATCTAGTTTATTGTGCCTACTTTGTATATTGTCTTTGTACATAGTACGGTAGATTTCGCTCACCTTCGTTGTTACATTTTCCTTTTTCCCTGCTCTTGATTTTTCCGTTTTTTTTTTTTTACTTTTTTATTACTAAAATCGGATACTACAAAAAACTCT